TTGCCTTTTGGAATCATTTGAAACCCTCCGAACTCGCAGATTTGAAAAAAATTACCATTTATTATTTTATCAGATACTAACTTATTCCTCTGATTTCAAAGCTGAATTTCTTTATCATCATTACTCAGTCAAAATTGTCATATGATCATTCAGAAATTTTTCTAATGTGCTGATATTGTGCTCGAGTAACATTATCATCAATGTTGAAAACAGTTGTGCTGTTTAATATTTTTGTGAAAATGGAGATACTTTTTTGCAGCATTATTTAAATATAATGACCCAAAGGATTATTAGGAACACCATACTAACACTGTGTTTGACCCCCTTTCGCCTTCAGAACTGCCTTAATTCTACGTGGCATTGATTTAACAAGGTGCTGAAAGCATTCTTTAGAAATGTTGGCCCATATTGATAGGATAGCATCTTGCGGTTGATGGAGATTTGTGGGATGCACATCTAGGACACGAAGCTCCCGTTCCACCACATCCCAAATCTGGTTACTGTGGGGGCCATTTTAGTACAATTTAGTAACACTTTTTGAAATCATTGTCATGTTCAAGAAACCAATTTGAAATGATTCGAGCTTGGTGACATGGTGCATTATCCTGCTGGAAGTAGCCATCATAGGATGGGTACATGGTGGCCATAAAGGGATGGACATGGTCAGAAACAATGCTCGGGTAGGCCGTGGCATTTAAACAATGCCCAATTGGCACTAAGAGGCCAAAAGTGTGCCAAGAAAACATCCCTCACACCATTACACCACCACCAGCCTGCACAGTGGTTACAAGGCATGATGGATCCATGTTCTCATTCTGTTTACCCCAAATTCTGACTCTACCATCTGAATGTCTCAACAGAAATCGAGACTCAGACCAGGGAACTTTTTCCAGTTTTCAACTGTCCAATTTTGGTGAGCTCTTACAAATTGTAACCTCTTTTTCCAATTGTAGTGGAGATGAGTGGTACCCAGTGGAGTCTTCTGCTGTTGTAGCTCATCCGCCTCAAGGTTGTGCGTGTTGTGGCTTCACAAACGCTTCGCTACCTCGGTTGTAACGAGTGGTTATTTCAGTCAAAGTTGCTCTTCTATCAGCTTGAATCAGTCGGCCCATTCTCCTCTGACCTCAAGCATCAACAAGACATTTTGTAAACCCTAGAAATGGTTGTGTGTGAAAATCCCAGTAACTGAGCAGATTGTGAAATACTCAGACCGGGCCGTCTGGCACCAACAACCATGCCATGCTCAAAACTGCTTAAATCACCTTTTTTTCCGATTCTGACATTCAGTTTGGAGTTCAGGAGGTTGACTTGACCAGGACCACACCCCTAAACGCACTGAAGCAACTGCCATGTGATAATAATTCTAATCCTAATAATCCTTTAGGTGAGTGTAGAATGCTCAATAAGCAGAATTTATTTGCATTAATTATAATTGTTTTACTAAATTTATTAAAGCATTGGTTAAATAGAAATGTTTTGCATCATTATACATGTCTTCACTCTCACTTTTGGACAATTGAATGGGCTCTATGCACGGCGGTATTTCCGGTGAAGCATTAGGGATGCTTGATAACTTCCGCCGATCGTAGAGTCCAATGCAATACCGAGAATTTATATTGAATTTTATACTCCATGGTTATACTAAAGAAACGTTAGTCACAAAAACAGATAAAACAGACACCCCTCGTTGTGTTTATGCTTCTTTTTAAAATTATATTAAATAAATATAACTATATATAAAATTACATCTAAACGTATGTACGTTTCATTTCAAAGACTGGAGGACAGTACATTTTGAAGACTCTGCCATAATCCCGTTTTCCTCGGTTTTCCTCCGCTTTAATCTCCACAACCGGAAATGGACGAGCATCCTTGCGTCAAATGCAGAATTTATGCGTGCATATAGCCCATTCATACATTCAAAGTATTTATTTCTCTCTTTTTTTATTCTTACCACAAATGTTGGTATCATTGTTTTCACAAAAATGTTAGGCAGCAAAAACTGTTTTATTAGAAAACATACCGAACTAATTTGAAGTTGCCTTTGGTGCCAGGAATGTCTGTGAGGAACTCATCAGGTGTGCTGCTGCCACATGACCTGTAACACTCTGGCCGTGGACAACTTGGATCATCCAATTTATACACCTAGATAAGGGATTAAATGCAAAAGATGTAAACTTCAAGCTAACAAATATGACAAAAAAAGTATCAAACTCTGAGTAATAAATACTTCACATATCTTCATAAGAAATTACTTGTAACAGCCTCGCTTGGAGGGGAAAAATTGCCCCCCCATAAAAACGTAAGCTGTAATTTGTTGTTGCAAGCTTAAATTGAATCAAATAATTGCTATTTCTAGCTTTTGACTCAGAGTGTAGCTTGCTATAATTAGACATTTGACAAACGATGCTGTTACCTTTGCATTAGCATAACCCAACTTGATTGTAATGTTTCTCTCCAGCTCATTTTTGAATCTGACAGTGTGAACTCCAGAGATCGCTTTCACCACTGTTGATTTTCCATGGGCTACATGACCAATAGTTCCTAAAGACAAACACATATGTATAAATAAAGCCAGCATGAAACAGAAGCTGCAATCATCTTTTCATCCCTATTGTGACTGTATTTCCGAGTGAAAACAACTTCTCGAACAAGAAAATATGTAGAGCGGGACTTTATTTTGTCCATTGGGAATTGATGGGATTGTTGTGGTTTGCTATTGCTGTGATGTCATGTGAATGACAGGATGTTCTGCCCTCGCATCAGTAAACACATCAGAGAAGAGATGTCGATCCAAGAGGGAGAAGTTATTTTATTTAAAGATTAAAAGAGCACATGAATTTTAAAAAGCTGCACAGATAAATAATTTATAATAAATACAATATTTGATAAACTGTCCATTTTGATTTCATGGTGACTTTAACTTTATTCTGAAACCTTGTTTTGGATCAAATGTGACTGTATGGAGAAAATAGTTAAAATAATAGAAATCTCACCTATGTTTATTGTGGCTTGTCTGCTGATGATCTCTTGAGACAGAGGCGTCAGTTTGCTCACGTCCTATAAAGCAAAACAGATCTGTTAATCATCAAACAAATTGCCAAAACAAATATGACAATCTAGGTGTAACCTTGTACTCGAAAAAATTAAATGAATAAAAACACAAAAAATATCAGTAGTGACAAATGCATCCAAACAAGTCATGGGTGACAACCACCAAAAATTAATACTTGACTTTTTTTCCTTTCCAAATCATGTAACAGCCTCTCTTAGAGAGAAAAAGTTTTCCCCTTAAACAAGAGAAGCTGCAATTTGCTGTTGCAAGCTTAAATTGAAACAAATAATTGCTATTGCTAGCTTTTGATTCAGAGTGTAGCTTGCAATAATTGTTTTAGGGCTTTATTGTATGTTGCAAGTAATTAAAAAATAAGTCACAGTATAAAAAAAAAAAATCACTGTGTTAATTTCAAGGAATACATGATAATAAAGTTTGCCATCAGGGAAGACCTAATGTACTGTCGAGAACATTAGCTACATGAGACACCGGTGAATAATTAGCTCAGAAGTATGTAAGATTAGCACATGACCAAAGTAGAACATGACAGGAACTATATTAAATAGAATGACATTTGTGTAATGACAACCGGCAGTGGTTTCACGACGTTTGTATATATGTAACTTATATGTATATCCGTAATTTCTACACGGGGTCCTTCTCCATCCCCGAATGAATCATGTGGTGAGTTTTCACCGGCACAGCGAACAAGCACGCCTGCCTTCATCAGAGAGCACAAGAGCACTTAACTCGAACTGGCGATGGCGCCAGTACAGCTTGAACATATTATATTACAAAATATAACAAAATATGAAGACTTACTAGTGTACTGAGGTCTTGTTTAGAAAGATGAGGCTGACCCAACGTTGTTCCAGACTCGTCGCCCGCCATCTTGAAAGAAAAGGAATGAAAGTGTGTTCAAGCAAACGCCTGACCGTTTTTACAAATACATGTGTGCCATTCATTTATAAACTGTCTAATTATTATGTTGTGTTGTATGTATACATATAGATAATGTTCTACTTTTCCCTATTACACGGCAGAACACCAAAAAAGTAAGCTAAATAATTATAGCGCATCTATCGAACAGCGTCCTGTAAGCATGGGATGATGCAATCAGTTTCTAGAAAAGGCCAGTAAATCCAATGAAGGAGAGGACAGATCGAATATGGCATCCTAGATTATAATGAGCATAAACAAACTTAAAATACCAACATATTCAACGATATAATTAATCTATTCTGTAATTAACATGTAGAAAACTTGAACACACGTTGGATTGATGGGAATGAAACCTGGGTCCGTCTTCGGGTTATGACGTCACGCGTTTTGTAGTTTTGACAGCGCTGTCACAACTAGTGACAAGTGCTGTCTATGGTACCGATAGTTGAGGCCAAAAGTGATGTCCGGACACCTGTTATGGTCCGGCCTAAGAAAATTGACATCTTCACCCTTTATTTAAATAATATGATTTTTGATTAGTTAGTTTATTATTATATTCTATTTATGAGTGGAGCAGACAATTGTTTTATTTGTGGTAATGTAATGAAACACGACAAATTGTACATTTTAAATTTAAATTTTGTTTACATATAACGCATGACATATAACAGTCATACAAAGAAAAATTATAAACACATGCAAAAATAACACATCTATCTATCTATCTATCTATCTATCTATCTATCTATCTATCTATCTATCTATCTATCTATCTATCTATCTATCTATCTATCTATCTATCATATAAAACCTCAAACTTCCTTACCTTAATTCATAAGGAAAGTAGAACTTCAATCATAATATAGGCTATGTCATGATTTATGTTCTCTTAACAATTGTAATGTCTGTGACGGTGAACTAAAACATTTCGTTCATGTAGGCAGAAAATATTGACACAAACTCCAATATTTCCGTCCGACCGACAAATGATCGGGAAATGACGTCAGTGCAGACAATAATATGGCGTCTACGAACGCAGTGGAGGCTATAGACAAACAACATTTAGCAATTCAGTCCAAATAACACTGGTTTATTGTCACCTAAAGACGCCAATGGGCACCATGTTTCCGTCGATAATGAGATTTCATATTTAATTTCTCTGGTCTTTGTCTAATAGCAGCACTCCATGTCCGAAGGACCTCGGGCTCCCTGGTCGAAGCGGGGTTGCGCGGAGTCGCATCGCCGAGGTAAAACCTTGCTGGAATTGTCTCATTTTACACACGCGACGTTGTCCTGCTTTATAACTTGCTCGTTTTATCTTACTGTAGCCGAAAACATCAGAATTGTTTAACATGTCGTGGGCTGACATTCGCTGGGTCGTGTCAGCGGTAATTACTGTGCCTCTGATATTGACCCAGTGAGCTCCCTAGATAGACAGCATGTTTGGGAATCATATGCATGTAAAGCTACTCAGTGACTATAAATGCTTCCTAGATAGACAGATCATTAAGTTTGTATCCAGTCGTTTTCAGATACTTTTTTAAATTTTATTTTAACAACTGAAATCAAAACATGCCATGCAGAATTAATAATAATACATGCTTTTCTGTGAATCAGCCTTCTCGTTTACTGAGGATCTGAACACGAGTTCATTGAAGTTGAACGGATATAAAACCACGTTGAGTGTAATGTAAGGTTGAACACTGTTAAAACAGGGTCATTTGTTATTAAAATAAGGTGACTGTAAACATTCATTATTTACTAGGACACATTGTCCTCTAAACACTGAGAAGTTTACCACAGTGACAGTAAAAACACCTTATTCCTGTGGTGACAGCTGTATTTTCAGCATCATTACTCCAGTCTTCAGTGTCATATGATCCTTCAGAAATCATTCTAATATGCTGATTTGGTGCTTAAGTAAAATTTCTTATTAGTATCTGTAGAGATGTACTGATGTATTGGGCGTCTATATTTATCGGACTGATTTTTAATCAGTTTTGAAACCGTCGGCTTTAGCATGGAAAAGGCTGATGTAACAAACTGAGAGTTTGTTAATTAACTGCATGAAGGCACTGAGTTGTATACTGTCTGTTGCATAATACAACGTTTCAAATAAATACTTGCTAAAACAAAATGAAATCTGTACAAAATACAGCAGGGCTCAACAATAAGGACTGTTCGGGGCCAACGTGAACGACGCTTGACGAAACTGTCACTGTCCCGATCAGGCCAGTGCTGCATCTTTGGCCATTTTAGTGAGCATCCTTGTAACCATTGTCAGTTGTGTCTTAAATAAATGTAGAGAAATAAAATGCTTTTGTACCAGTATATATTGAATCTGTGCAGATCTTAAAGTGACAGCAGCCTTATATTCCTGCTGCGCTACTGTCTCTGTTTTAATATTAATCAAACAACAAAACACTACTTTTGACTAAATACCTTTTTTAAATTTTAATAAGGATTGATTTGTTTAATTTATACAAGTAAGAATATATTTGATTTTACATTTGATTTGTTTTACACTTTATTTTTGTACCTGTAAACTACTGTTTGACCTAAATGAAAAGTAGTTTATTAATATGCATCTTTGTTCTGTTGTTTTTATGCTGGTCTGTTGAATTTTAAATGGAATCAGATTTAAGACATGATCGAAACACTAATTTATTTGAATGACAAATGTTGAAACAACAGAGCAAGTGACAAATATCTGTATCGATATTGGTAAAAAAAAAAAAAAGATAATTCCTATTGGTGCATCCCTGATTAATTTTGATAACTAATTTTTGGGAAAAAATTATCAATATTTTTCACAATTCTTTGATTAGAAATTATTTATTTCAAATAACAATAACTTTTTTTTAAATAACTTTTTTGTCACATTATAAATGTCTTCACTATCAATTTTGATCTTTTTTGTGTCCTTTCTGAGTAAAAGTATTAATTTATATTATAATAATATAATTAAAATAATCGTATTTTGCTCAAATTTTTGAACGGTTGTGAATTGAAAATAATATTTTTACAAATTCTGGGAAATTCCAGATTTTGTGGCCAAATGTGGCCAGTTTGTTTTGAATAGGATATTAGTTTTCTTTTGTAAAACTGTCGACTAACTGCATGTGAATGTAGCTTAGTCCCTCACATTACATATTGGCACTTACTCAACCGTGAAAATAATAATCAGATGTTGTTCAGTGTCTAATGAACATTTGGGAATAATTACTAATTAACAATGTAAATTAAAGTAATAAGCCATGTCAAGTCATAGTTTACACATAGTGAATTTAAGACAGCTAAGTTCATTGTAAATCACAGCTTCACAAGGCTTATTGCTTTTATTAATTGATTATTCTACATGCCCAACAATGTTTCATAAAATAAACGCACAGACACAAAAATGTAATGCTGTTATAAATATTATTCTTCCATTAAGCAATGTAGTTCTTTAGAAGCGGAACGGCCATCTTGCCAAGCAGTGACGCAGTAATACCATAGATGAGTAATACTCATGTAATTATGCGGTTTGTAGAGTAATTTAAATCGGTTTCGAACGCAGCTCAACCAATCACAATCAAGGACTGCAACTTTCCCTTTTTTTAATAGGTAATAACACAGTAATGAAAAAATATCAACTATCATTTATAATCTGGATGTTATCTCTTTTTAGAGCAGGGCAAGTACAAGCAGAGGAAATGTGAACGTCCCTTCATCGCTGTGAAGCCGACCGTTGGCCAGGAGGCCTCTAAAAGGTGAGTCACAAAGACATGATCAACTTCTGCTTTTCTCCAAGCCACCTTGGAGATAACCTTGGAGCCACCTTATAATTTACTCACCCCATGTCATTCAAGATATCCATGTCATTCTTTCTTCAGTCGAAAAGAAATTAAAGTTTTTGATGAAAACATTCCAGGATTTTTCTCCATATAATGGACTTCAATGAGAACCAAACGGTTCAAGGTCCAAATGAGAGTTTCAGTGCAGATTCAAAGGGCTTTAAACGATTTCAGACGATGCATAAGGGTCTTGTCAAGCGAAACGATCCCTCATTTAATAAATAAATGACAAAGTTTAAGTTTTATAAGCTCAAATGCTCGCCTTGCTGTTCTGTGATGCGCTTCGTGACTCGTCTATCATCCTGTTCGAACTCGTTTATCAAGATGAACAAATCTTTTTTCATGTCATTTAGTTCATTCAACGAACAAAATGAACGAGTTGACTCGGGAAAAGATCTGTTCATTTTGATGAACGAGTTCGAATAGCAGAGTCACACAGAACAGAGCAAGGCGAGCATTTGAGCTTATAAAATGCAAACTTTGTTATATTTCTTTTAAATGAGCAATTGTTTCACTTGATAAGACTCTTATTCATCGTCTGGAATCGTTTAAAGCCCTTTGAACAGTTTACGCCAAAACTGTCTTTTGGACCTTGAACCGTTTGGTTCCCATTGAAGTGCATTATTTGGAGAAAAATGCTGGAATGTTTATCAAAAACCTTAATTTCTTTTCGACTGAAGAAAGAAAGACATGGGGGTGAGTAAACTATCAGCAAAAGTTTTTTTTAAAAGTGAACTACTCCTTTAAGGATACAGTGTCTTTAAATGTTTCTCACCTCAATTTTTATATTCCAAATGATGGTTAAACTATATGAGGCTTCTGTTTGGCACAATTTTCAATGTGCAAGCAGGGATATTTTGTCAAAAGTATTGTCATCTTCTACCTCCATTTATGCCTCAAGTATTTGTGTTTGCACACAGTGGGACATTCAGTTGGTGCATCTTTAGCATTTCAGTCTGTTGGTGATTTTCTCGTAATTATAATGATTGGGGCTTGTTCGGTTTGTCATTTAGGTGAATATCATCAGAATTTAATTTCCTACGGACACAGAGGTACTGTCCTCTGATTGGCTCGGACACCCCCCTGTGACATGCCCGTGGCCAATCAGAGGTGAGTGTGCTGTGTGTGTGTGTGCGCAGTAGAGGGGGAGTGTGTGGGGGAGCTTTGAGAGAGTTTGGCTTTCAGCAGCAGAAACTGAAGTGCTGAGGTGTGAAAGTTCTTGAAGTCCTTCCAGAGGCTTTATTAAAGTCTGGCATGTTTTTATACCATCTATTATTCACTAAACTACAAATACTTCTGATGATTTGGCTTATGAAGAACTTGAAGGGCTGTTTAGTTCAACAAGCACTTAATTAAAGATTTGTATTAAATGGATGGTTCACTCAAAGAATTAAGCAGCTGCTCAAAAGTTTAGGGTTGGTAAGATTTTAAAAATGAAAATCACTTGCATTCATTCGATTAAAATTACTATAAAAACTTATTTCTATGTTATTGTATTTTTAAAAATATTCCTGTAATGACAAAAATGTGTTTTCAGCATCATTACTCTAGTCTTCAGTGTCCCATGATCCTTAGGAAATAATTTGAATATGCTGGTTTGGTGCTCAAGGAACATTTCTTATTAGTATTAATGTTAAAAACAGTTGTGCTGCTTAATATTTTTGTGGAAACTGAAACGTTTTTTTCAGCATTCTTTGATAAAAGCACAAAAGAACAGAATTCACTTGAAATAGAAATATTTTGTCAATGTTATAAATGTCATTGCTGTCAATTTTGATCAATTTGATGTGTGCTTGCTGAATAAAAGTGTTCATTTATTTTTATTTTTATATGTTATTGACCCCGAAACGCAATCATTCCAAACCTGTTTTTGTCTATGCAAAGAAATGTGGTCCAAAACAACAAAATATCTTCTTTTCTATTCCACGGGGTCAGTAATTGATAACAGAAGATGAATTTTGGGTGAACTATCCTTTTAACAGGCCTTTACCATTGGGTTGATTGATATTGAACTCTGAGATGAGACTTGTGTCTATATACTTGGGAGAAAATGGTAAATGTCGGTCTCTTCATCACAGTTATGGTTCTCCTAACCTTGCAGAGATAATCAGCTAAATTGGGACATATCGACTTGCCTTGACGTGTCATTTATAATCTTGTTTGTGTCTCTGCAGGTGCCTAATGGCGGGGGATGTGGAGGTGTACCTTTCCCAAGTGCATGATGGTAGCGTGTCGTCGGGCTTCAGGGCCTTGTATGAGGAGCGGCTGCTGCTCGATGTCACTCTTCTCATCGAGGAGCACCACTTCCAGGCGCACAAGGCTCTGTTAGCGACGCAAAGCGACTATTTCCGGGTCATGTTCACGGCCGATATGCGGGAACGTGACCAGGATAAGATTCACATGAAGGGGTTGACGGCAGCCGGGTTTGGTCACGTCCTTCGCTTCATGTATTATGGTTCATTAGAGTTAAGCATGATCACGGTGCAAGAGATCCTGCAGGCTGCCATGTATGTGCAGCTCACAGAGGCTGTAGAGTTCTGCTGCTCCTTCCTGCTGGCCAAGATCTGCTTAGAGAATTGTGCTGAGGTCATGCGCTTGCTGGAAGACTTCAGCGTCGGCGTGGAAGGCGTACAGGAGCAGCTCGATGCGTTTCTGCTGGAGAACTTTGTGCCCCTGATGGCGCGACCGGACTTCTTGTCCTATTTGAGCTTGGAGAAGTTGATGGCTTATCTGGATAGTGACCAGCTGAGTCGATTTCCGGAAATTGAGCTGTATGAGGCGGTGCAGGCTTGGCTGAGACATGACCGGCGGCGATGGAGACATACGGATGCGGTGGTGCAGAACCTGCGCTTTTGCCTCATGACTCCTGCCAATATCTTTGAGAAGGTAACAATGCTTCCTTGTTTATCATGTGTTTAGGGGTCAGTGACAAGTAAGAAAAAGGAAAAAAAATAATTTAAAAATCTAATTCATGAATATAATTAAGTTTTTGGAGACCACATTACAACCTAAATTTACTTGTCATTAATTATGCAGTTTTTTTTAAGAAAGATGAAGATCCTCTCTATGATATCATTTGTTGTTTTATGTTCAATTATGTATGAAAGTTTTTAATAAAGAAATTGTAATGCACAGTAAGCTTATACAGGTTTTTCTGGCAGAAAAAATGGCATTAAGTTGCATTAAAAACATGTTTGGGGTCAGTACTATATATATATATATATATAATAAAATAATCCTGAAATAAAAGTATTATGGTTTTCACAAACATTTTAATTAGAACAACATAATAAGGATAAGAAATATTTTTTTAAACTCCCAAATAATCATATTAGAATGATTTCTGAAGGATCATGTGACATTGAAGACTGGAGTAATGGTGCTGAAAATTCAGCTTTGCATCACAGGAAAAAAAAAACTATGCAAAAAGAAATCAATTATTTTAGTTTATGTTAATGTTTTTATTGTATTTTTGTTTTGCATAATTTTTGCTTTCAAAAACATTTTTAAAAATCTTAACAACCCCAAACGTTTGTACGATAGTAGGAATGAACCGAAATGAAAATATTGGCCTATAACAATAACTGATAGTTTTTTATATTTGAAAGCCAATAACAGATATATTGGCTGATAAATCTACATCCAAAGTTTTATATAATTATAATGATCTCATTTTGTTCCAATTATGTAACTAATGACAGCTGAGCCTTTATGGCAGCACATGTTCCACTTGTTCCTGTATTTTCCTTTTTTGAAGTGATTCCAATCATATTTCAAGCAATTCAAAACCATCATGGTAAACAGTACACATCTGAAGGATATAATGTATTATTTATCTGCTTTAAAGGGATAGTTCACTTTGAAATAAATTTTTGATATGTTTTAGCTTACCTCAAGGGCATCCAAGATGTAGGTGTCTTTGTTTCCACAGTATTTTCAATTTTGACCTTTTTTTCAGTCAAACCGCTGTTGTCTGTCAGTCATATAATGTAGGTATGGGGGTCCACGTCAAAGATCATGCAAAGAGAAGTCAAAATTAAGCATTATTTAATGACTCGTAAATGTAAGTACACATTGATGGCCTAAGACACGAAACGAGCGGTTTGTGTGAGAAAACAAACAGTATTTGTATCGTTTTTACCTCTTGTCAACAGACATGTCGAACTGATCTGAATCAGATGTCCAACTGAACCATCTCCAAAGTTACGCCAGAAGTGATCTCTCGCGCGTCTATGTCACACATTGTTTACACTGAGATTTCGGAAGTTTTACCTTTCACTAAGCATATTTAGATATATCGATATCGTCTTCCACCTGCATTATATGACTGACAGACAACACCGGTTTGACCGGAAAATATCAAAATTGAAAATACTGCAGAAACATCTTGGATGCCCTTGAGGTAAGCTAAAACGCATCAAAAATTAATTTCAAAGTGAACTATCCCTTAAATATATCTGCCAAATTTTCTTATCGGGCTGGTAACCATAACATTAAAAACGAACATATATCGACCGGTACCGATATGGTGGCCGATGTATCGTGCATGCCTAACCGGTAGTGTACGTATGACTTGTATGTTGGAAGTTTCCGGTCATTGACAGGTGTGTTTTTTTTCTTCATCCTTGCATAGGTGAAGACATCGGAGTTCTACCGTTATTCCCGCCAACTGAGACTAGAAGTAGACCAGGCGCTCAGCTACTTCCATCAGGTGAACGAACAACCGCTGGCAGAAACCAAGTCCAACCGCATCAGATCCGTGAGACCCCAGACTGCTGTATTCCGCGGAATGATCGGCCACAGCATGGTCAATAGTAAGATCCTCCTCCTGCACCGGCCCAAAGTGTGGTGGGAACTCGAAGGCCCCCAGGTACCGCTCCGCCCCGATTGCCTGGCCATCGTCAACAACTTCGCCTTCCTTTTGGGCGGTGAAGAGTTAGGCCCGGACGGAGAGTTCCACGCTTCTTCTAAGGTCTACCGCTATGATCCCAGACAGAACTCCTGGCTACGCATGGCCGACATGTCCGTTCCCAGATCAGAGTTTGCCGTCGGCGTCATCGGGAAGTATATTTATGCCGTTGCAGGCCGCACTCGCGACGAGACGTTTTATTCCACGGAGCGTTATGACATTGTTGAGGACAAGTGGGAGTTTGTAGATCCTTACCCTGTAAACAAGTACGGCCACGAAGGCACTGTGCTCAACGGGAAGCTGTATATCACTGGCGGCATCACCTCCTCTTCCACCTCAAAACAAGTGTGCGTCTTTGACCCGGGACGGGAAGGAACGTCCGATCTTCGTACGCGGCGCACGCCGATCCTCACCAACTGCTGGGAGAACAAGTCAAAAATGAACTACGCTCGTTGCTTCCATAAGATGATCTCCCACAATGGGAAGCTGTACGTCTTTGGCGGGGTGTGTGTGATACTGCGTGCCTCTTTCGAATCCCAGGGCTGCCCGTCGACAGAAGTTTACGACCCAGACACCGACGAGTGGACTATTTTGGCTTCGATGCCTATAGGACGCAGTGGGCATGGAGTGGCAGTGTTGGACAAACAGATCATGGTGCTCGGGGGACTTTGCTACAACGGGCATTACAGCGACTCTATCCTCACATTTGACCCTGAGGAGAACAAATGGAAAGAGGACGAGTATCCTAGGATGCCTTGCAAACTGGATGGACTGCAAGTGTGTAGTTTGCACTTCCCAGAATACGTTCTGGAACACGTGAGACGCTGCAGCTGAGTCTTTCTAGACAGTTTAGCAGACAAACGTTTACAGGTGTGACAAGTAATACTAATACTGTTGAAGCTTTTAAACTGTAGGCCAGTGCTTATTAAGGAAGAAAAAAAAAATCTTTTTTAGGCTTTCATTGTAGAAAGGAAGGTTTGTTATTTGTTCTAAGCATTGGCGTTCTCATAAAAATCGGATACAGATGACCTTTTTGCTCATCCGTCTGACTCATTGCACTGTAATCACCCTGTAGAGCACATACTACTCATCACGTTTCACCACATTGTCTTCTCTATCCCTTCATTCTGTTCACAGGAAGTCTTGTGTTGTGTGTGCTTATTCCACGACAAGTAGTCTGGTACATCTAGGAGTGGTTAGAAAAATGCAAAGGAGACTAAATGAAGTAGAGGAACTCATCAAGAACTTCCCAGTCCCCTTTTTTTCGATCACATTTACTTATCTAAGAATGCATTTGTGCTGATACTAGTGATGTTGTAGTGGATCTTGACGATAATGACTGTAATGATTGTAATCTTGACAAGCATTGCACTCGAATAAGGGCATATATTACTGCTCTACAATAACACCGGTCCTCCACTGCTGACTGCACAGGGAGAAAAGGGGACAGCAGAGATTAGGGGACGCGTACTTCTCCGACCTTTATTAGTTGTGCTTATGCTTATTTTTTACTTATTTATTAAAATGGCAAAGCCTTGCCTTGATCCAATTCATGTAATGTAAGGAACTACTTTCTGTGTGTGTGTGTGTGTGTCTCACATTTTGTTTCACCAGCAAAGGGCTAAAGCACATATGCATCTTGTGTTTAATGTCAAAAGAAACACTAATAGCAGTTCTACGAGTTTAGGCATTCATTTGGGTATCAATATCAGTTGTGCTATGAAATTCAGTGGGACCCAAAACATGTTTTTGGACTCCATTGGTTTTCACTGCATGGTCAAAAACATAAACTTTTGTGTTCTACAAAAAAGGAAGAATTGGAACGACATAAATATGAGTAAATCATGATAGAACCTTTTTTTGGGGGGGGGGTGAACTATCCCTTTAAGACAGATCTTGAAAGTGTTTGGCAGTATGTCATTTACTATTATAGACCCTACATATGATGCTGTGTTTCCTCAGAGTTCCTGGTTGGTTTGTACTTCCTCAAACACTAACTTTGACCTTTTGTCTCTGCTGTGTGACATTTGTCATCCAAAATTCATGCTATTTTCATGTACATATAGATGCCAATCTGTGGTCTGTAAGGGTCGAACTGTAATAATCAGACACAGCGGTAGATTATAACCTTGTCTTGTTATTTTTTTTCAGTAGAATAACAGACAATTATTCCACTATAATAATAATAATCCATAGCCCTCTATCTTGTTCTTGGAGGAGTATAATCAGATTGCTAACTTGTTTACCAAAATCTGGTGGTTCACTGGTATTTGAAGACTTTGTAATTAATTTCCAGAAATAAATGTTCAAACTGTTCAGCTCTCTGGGGTTTTCTAATTGAATACAATCACCTGCTGTGCTGATGTGTTTAAGTTTAACTTGTGTTTAAGACGCTGTCTTCTCTAGATATTAGGATCTTATCCTGTGGGTTTATCCCTGTAAGAGGATCCATCAGCAGGGTGTGTGCTGCAATCCTAAGCCGGTTCTTCAGCTCGTGTGTCGCCATGTCTGACAGAATTGTGCGCTATATTGAGAAAAAGCCATTCCTGCAGCTCAAAAAGCAATGGCACGGTCATGGGTGCAATTCCCATGGAATACATGAACTGATAAAATGTATACCCTCAATTCAATGAAAGTCGCTTTGGATAGTTAAAAGAAACTTTATGCATTTGGCATTTTTGGTCACATGGCCAGATGTCTCTTGGTACTTTTTAAGTAGGCCTACTCTTTAAAGATAAATTAGGATCGTCCATAGTTCTTTGCAGCGACTGGATTGGATCAATACAGAAGCCTTTTGGTTTGTAGAATAAAGCCGCATGTTAAATATTCTTCTTTCCAACAATAAACAGCAATTCTCCATACTTATAATAATTTTAATCCAGAATATTAATTTTGACAGAAGAATGAAAGACACCACCAGCCCAGACCCCCCCCCCACCCCCCCCCCCCCCAAATAGTGTTTTGTCCTTAAGAGTTTTTTTTTTTTTTTGAGCTATTTTTCAATGCAAATTGTTTTGTCTCAGAGTAAAAAAGGGTACTTGCAACATTACTTCTCATAATTGAAACTTAAGATCACAATTCGATATCATAAGTGACTATATCTCTATCTAGAGAGATGACTTGTAATTGTGACTACATGTAGCCTAAAATTTCGTGTTGTTTTTTTATTTTTATTTTTTTGGTGAAACAGCCCATTAAAATCACAAAAACTTTATTCAGCTCAATTGATCTGAATTCTGGGATCTTGTTGGTCTTTTCCAGAATGTTAACGTTTTTGTTTGAGACCCATAGTTTTTTCATTATATCATGGATGGTGAAATGATCTGAAACATTTCAATTTTATTTTTCAATGATGCATTCAACACCGTTTTATAATACAATGGCTGTCCTCAGGGCATTATTAAGAGCTCACTGGGCCCCGGGGCTATGAGTTACTGCAGGGCCCCCCCACCACTTTAGGTCACCAACTACATGAGCTAAATGTTACATTATTATACAAGTCATTTTATCCATCTATGATATACTTCACAGTTAAGTTATGTTACTTTTAACACGATTTTTTTTTATCATATCAAAATGTATTGCCACTAAAATTTCATAATTATTGTGACCAATTTCAATATCACCAAAAAAATAATAGTAGCTTAAGAAAATAATCTCAAGCTTACTGATGACAAGAGTCACAAATTAAAATAGAACAAAGGCACAATAAATCGACCTATTAAAAATTCGGCACTCAATTATATTATATAAAGTAATTAAATATACAATACATGGTTTTCACTATAAATTCAACATTCATTCTTGTTAATTTTGCAAAAGTACGGCCCGTCCTACAGGACAATTTAACGTTAACTGTAAAAGCCATAAAAAGAAAGCTTTTTAACTCCAGTTTCTAAATTAATTTGACAATTTGCGTTGGTTAAATTATATCAGGGCATTACACCATGAGATAAGTTATGTGTCGTGTCTTTTGGCTATTACAGACACGATAAATATGAATTATTTGGTGATTAACTATTGCACAAAACAGATTGCCGAATTTCTAATAAATGCCGAAAATTAAATAGCAATTGTGCTGAGCGCGCACGTGGCGCCGTGGCTTAGATGGTTAAAGCGCCTGTCTAGTAAACAGGAGATCCTGGGTTCGAATCCCAGCGGTGCCTTTTGCGTGCACTTCATTCACACGTAAGGGATATAGCCTAAAGCCTTTACACTGCACTAATTTTATTGATTAATTATTAGTACTTTATTCAATATCTCTAAGGATACTTTAACTTCTGTTTAGGCACTTGCTTCCATAACATTAACATATGTATTTATCACAGGCCTTTTTTTTTTTGGCTTGTCTGCAAAATTCAAAGGGCCAAACAATTATTAAACACAAACCAATTCATAAAACAGCAACAATGGTAACGAACAAAAATCTTAAACCACTGTTTAAAATATAATTTAAATCAATAAATTAATAGCTTCAATGAGGTATTATTAAACCGTTGTTAAAATATAATAGTATAATTATAAAGTTGTCGTGTCGTAAAGTAACGATTCTGAATGTATGGTAAACTTCCCAAAAAAACGGTTACAGTACGCCCTCTGGTGGCAAATACTTGCAACTGAGATAAAATATCAAATATTTGAACTTTAGAAATTAATTTGTTATAGCACGGGGCAATTGAAATGAGATCATGAAAGACTCAAGAAAAGCAGTCAACACATGCTCTACATGCTTATGATGCAACAGCTTATGAGGCTATAACAAATCTGGTCAATTTTAAGCAAATCAACTTCAACACAAAAGGGAAAAATCAATTATAACTGCTATGATTGATTCCACTAGGAAGAATGCATAGTCATCAGAGGAAATAAAACAGATTTTTCAATCATTTATATTTATATTCTTCAAAAATAACCCAATTTAACAGATATCCAGTTATTTTTAGATCAAATAAATCTTCCAAGCTTAACAAAAGAACAAGCAGGCTTTAGAGTCACATTTAACTTTATCGGAACTATGCAATGCATTACTAGATGGGTTTCCTGTGGTAGAATTCATAAAACATTTTTGGAATATTATGGCTCCACCCTGTCTTTCTTTTTTAGAATGGCAGAAATAAAAGCCAAAGGTAAGATCTTGCCTCACTTTAAAACTGCTTTAATAAGACCGGATTAAGATCCAAGTTTGCCAGCAATCGGACAGTAGCCCTATTTAATAAACACAGACATTAAAATGACCTCTAAAGCTGTTGCATCTCAGTTACAATAATTTACACAATTATCCACGATGATCAAACTGGATTCATCAAAGGCTGCCACTCCTCAAGTAATTTAAGAAGGCTTTTCACACAATCAAATACAAGCAATAATAATTTCCTCAGATTTCTGATTATACTATAAATTGGAAAAAAAATCAACACTATATTTGGCAGTAGCCCAGGTCTCATACTTATTATTTTCTTGAGGTGACATTAAATACCTGGGCATATTTATTTCTCCATAACTTTCAGAAATGGTTGAACTAGGTTTAACCCCAATTAACTATATGAGGAATGATTTTAAAAGCTGTAATTACTTGACTCTCTTAGCAACTGTCAAAATTAAAATCTTACGTCAAATTAATTATTTATTTAGATGCTCCAAATGTTCTACTTTATTACATGGCAAGTCAGCAATTTCCTATTAGATGGATAAATTCCAACTCAGATTATGATAAACCAGTCAAAGAAAGTGTGAAATGTTCGGGTAAACAAAAAGTATGTAGATTAAGTAGGCCTATTTAGTTTTATATTTGAAGCGTTCAGATGCAAGCCTCCAAGTGGCATCTGAAATATTCTTTTAGAATGATATTTTTTATCATTTAAATTCAGTAATTTCAACCCTCATGTGGTGTTCGGGTCAATTTGACCCGGAGAAGATTTTCTTTTTCCTGAAAATACTAGTTAATGTAACTTAGTGACTTTGTTCCCAAGCGGTATAACTATATCTCATTTGTTTTTTGAACATTTTCGTATTTCTGTTACCTTGTTACACTTGTGGTGTTCCCGGTCAAAAATGACTGGTCTATAAAAAATAGCTTATAAATCACTCATTATACCATATTTTCACCCAATCTTGGATTAAATCTTTTTGTCAACTTGTTCTCTTTCAATTAGGACTGGTTTTATATTTCTGTTTGCATCTGATTAATCGTGGGCCTCATTTATCCGAGAGTAGGCATCTAATTTTTTGAGTAAAAAATAAATAATTTATGAATAAATTTGGAAATATGAAATTTTTTTTGAAAAAAATGGCTACTGTTCATCACTCTAGTCTACTCTAATGATTTACCAGGAATTTTGTTTTGAAACTTTTGTTTTGTAAAAAATATGGAACATAGTCACACTTGTGGTGTTCCTGGTCAAAAATGACCGGCCTATAAAAAATAGCTTATAAATCACTCATTATACCATATTTTCACCCAATCTTGGATTCAATCTTTTTGTCAACTTGTTCTCTTTCAATTAGGACTGGTTTTACATTTCTGTTTGCATCTGATTAATCGTGGGCCTCATTTATTTGAGAGTAGGCATGGTAAAAAATGGTCACAATGGGCGACCATTGAAAGTGAATGGGAGAGACTGAAAATAACAGAACAATTTAGTTTTCAGGAGCATGTTCATTATTTTCATGTACACATATGAGCATGTGTGCTTGCAAACATCGAGCCCTTGGACCTGTGCATGTATCGATACATTTATACTGTACACACGCAACCCAGACACACACGCGTTAAAACACACAAACTTTGAGTACACACATTCTTTTCCACAGAGAGAAATTTGATTCTAACCTAACCTGCATCTAATATACATTTATCCATCTGACATTACCACACACACACACACACACACACACACACACACACACACACACAAACTGGCCGTGACTGCAGTGATCCGGCTTCAAAATAATCTTTCTTTCATGTTCTTGTTTCATCACAGCTTCCAGAAAAAATATTATGACATTTTGTTTTGGAACTGTGAGGTTCTCACCATAGACAGTGGTTCTCACACAGAACTAGAGAATATTTACAAATATACAACATGTGATAGCACAGGCATATATAAATGCCTCACAGCACCTTGCTTGTCATTCATTTGTGGCAGCACAATGGCAAAGCAGCTCTCTGCACATGATGCTATTCATCAGATTTTTGACTCAGAAAATAGTGGGGAGGATCATTTCTCTCTGTGGAAAAGAATGTGTGTAATACTCAAAAAAGCTTGTGTGTTTTAACGTGTGTGTGTGTCTGGGTAGCGTGTGTATAAATGTATCGA